TTAATTTCTTGCATGTTTTGTGATTTTCATGCTTTGCTCCTCTTTTTTTTTGTTTTTGTCTTATTCTATTTTGACGCGAAATCGCCCCTGCCATTGGCACTTGGAATGCGCGCTTTTTGCCTGTGGGCATCAGTGGATAGCCATAGGAAGCATGCTCCGCCACGCCACGCCTTTGCTTTCGACACAAGTGGGTTAATTGAATTTACGCTTGAGTTTTGGCATTGTTGATATTGTTGTTGTTTAGGCAAAGCGCGAGCTGAAGCTGCTGATGAGGTAGTAGCCAGCAGTTTTTGCTGTTGTTGTTTTTGTTGACCAAACTTTTTTTACACCGCCTTATCTCTCATGCATTGCTTGTCTGTTCGCGTACATCTACGTATGACTGTGTATGCATATGTGTTGGTAGTTGTGTCAATATTGCTCTCGCTGTGTGTGTGTGTGTGCCTCAGCATTTTGCATTTTTATGCCATGAAAATGTAATTTATTGCACTTTCTACTTTATTTAATTGTCTTCCATGCATTCATTGCTAAAAGTGTGAAGCTGCGGCTGCGGCAGCGGTTGCGGCTGTTGATGTGGTTGCCTCTTGGTATTTCATTGCTTCCAGTCGAGTCTTGTGGTGGATATTTTTTTCCTTTTTGTTGTGCTTATGACGGTTGTTCACAACTTTTGGCTCGTAAATTTTTGTGTTTATTTGTATAACTGTTGAATAAATTTGGCGGCTGTAAAATTTTTTCACTTTTGTGTGTGTGAATGGCTTTAGCCACAAGAGGGTAGGGCTCCCTGTTCAGTTGACTGCTCTCTTCTTTGAAATTAAGAAAAAAATCACAGTAAAGGTAAGGAGTACATAAAATAAAAAATACTCATATTCATTTACCTCCGTCGAGATAGGATAATATGAAATCAATTTTTTGAATATTTGCTGATACCACGATATCGACATAATGTATGGAGATTTCAACTCTATGATGGGCATAGAAAATATCTTCTAAAAGACTAATAAAAATATCAATCTTAATAAAAAGTGTACCTTGAAAGACCTTTAGTAATACATACATATAGTTTTAAAGGGTGATCCAAGCAGAGGTATTTTTTTAATAGCCTCTTTTTGACAGAACACGCCTGGGTCGCTTCAAACTGTGATGTTTTTTTGTTCAATATTGTAATATATTGGCATCTTATCAAGGAAATATTTACGCCTGAATAACGCTTACAAATCGTTCTTTATTACGAAAATTCTCTTTCTGGAAGGAATGTATTTCGCTTGCCTCGCTTAACTTATGGTCAACATAATTGACCTACCGAGCGTTTCACACCATCACCCACTTTGAGACCCCGTCTACATTAGTGGATAATAATATTTTACCGAGTAGACCACGTCCAGTATGCAATGAAGAAAATATCGCGGCCTTAGCCGAGAGTTTACACGAAAACCGTGGCGAGTCAGTTCGGCGCCGATCGCAACAAGTTAGACTGACGTATGGAACGACCTGCCGCATTTCACGTTGAGATATCAAATTGAAAACGTACGAAATACAGCTTGTGCAACAACTGAAGCCACTCCACAATCCCATGCGACATCGCTTCGTTTTATGCGCTCTTGAAAAGTTCTAAGAAGATTCTACGTTTTTGGACCAAATTTTGTTCAGCGATGATGCTCATTTTTGGATTAATAGGTATGTAAACAAGAAAAATTGCTGCACTTAGGACGAAGAGCAACCTGAAGAGTATATTTCTTCAAAAATGAAGTTGGTGACCGTTAACGCACCGTGGTAACCGACCCTTTGTTGCATGAAATTAGAGCTCGTGATCCCGGCGACATTTGGTTTCAACAAACCAGCGGCGCCACTTCCCACATATCCCAGTCAATGAATGGATTTATTGAGAGAAAACTCCGGTGAGCAGATAGTTTCACGTTTTAGCCTTAAGATCGTATGATATCACGCCGTTAGACTTTTTCCCGTGTCGATAATTAATGTCTTAAACCCTGCGGGCAGTCCCGCTTCGATTCAGGAATTCTAACAAAATATCACGCGTATCATTTGCCAAATTACAAGTCAATGCTAAAATCAGTCATCAAAAATTGAACTTAACAGTTGCACCATCTGAGACATAGCCACGGCGAACATTTGAAAAGAGATAATCTTTAAAAAATAAATGTCAAAGAATCTGCTTTCAAATGATAAAAAAATTTACCATAAAAATTGAATTTTCTGAGTTTTTTCTTTAAAAAAGTAGCGATAGAAAAAGTGAATATCAATTTACAATAGAAAACATAAGTACATGAGGATGAAAAAAGTATAACATCGATTGCTATAAAAAATTTAAAAAATTAGTAAAAATATTGCTTCACGGAGTAATTGGAATTTAGTTGGAACACTTCCATTACCACTTTATAGCAATCGACGTTATACTTTTTGAAAATTTTACCGCCATGAAAGGTATCTCTCGAAGACAGTTAGAAAACTACATCATCACTGAGAGTATACTTCGATAGACAGTAAATAAATTGCAGCTCTACTAAAAAGGTTTCTACGTACACTGCGCATGATTGGGTTTAACGAGGATATGCCTACATATGAATACTTTCGAGAGTGAAAGAAAAATGATAATTGGCGCTTTGTAACTGTTGGGCTCTTAATACAATTTGTGATGTATTTCTTGATCTTTTCTAAATAAATGAAGGGTGCTACTGTTAAATCTAAGCCGCGTTGGAATATCAACGCTAAGACGTACATAGAAAGTTTATTGCGAAATACAGTTAAAAAGTTCATATTTCGAAAACAGTCATAAAATAGGAGACGTCATACAAAAGTGCATGAAAACAAATCTGTAAGAATTGGTTTTAAAATGAATTAAAGTAAGAATAATTGATATATATATTTGACTTTTTTTTTTGGATAATAAAAAGGTTAGATAAATAAAAAAATAGTTAAAAAAAAAAAGAATTTTAAATTAAATTTTTATTATTTCAAATTTTTATTGTTTTTCTCACTATATTTTATTGACATAAAAATTTAAGTACATTAAACTCTTAAGGCACAAGCCTCGTTTAGAGCACGAAAAAAGTTTTTATCAACTAATTTTTTTTTTTTGAAGGAAGAAATTCACTGCGGTAAGTGAAATTTTCAGACATTAAAGTACTATTTTTAAGCTTTCAAAAACATGGTCTAGCATAAAAAACAGTTGAAGTTTTCCAATGTTCTGATGAGTTTTCTGCAGCGCCTGCAGGCTGCCTACGTGAAATGGTGCCGTTGATGGAGGTCGTGCGTTGCAACTGATACATTCGAACCAAATTTTTTTCTTAATTTTTATAAGTGTTCCAGTCGTGCGAAGTGAAAAATACCCTAGAAGTTGGAAAATCCTTGATTTTTTCAAAATTATAAAAAAAGTTCACATTAAAAAAAATTAAAATTCGCTTCTAGTTCAAAAAACAAAAGTTTAAATAACACTTTTGTTCAACTTTTTTAGTTCATATAAAAAATAATTTAATACTTATAGGACTCATATTATTTTTGCTATCACAACCTTTTTTTAAGGCTTGTAGAAATAAAAACTCGAGCAAACGCGCTTCAAAGTTTTGCGCCGCTCGACGTGCGGTTACTAAAACTGCGATAAATTGAAAAATGTGTCGAATTAGCCAATAAAATTTTCTCAAGACAAGTGCTTGCATAGTTTTAGAATAGATATTAGAAAAAAAATTGCTTATATTGAAGCAAACTACTGCTTAAAGGTCGTTTTTATTTATTTTTTCTCATTTAATACAAAATATTTTCGACATTGAAAATTTTCAATGGACAAAGCTTAAAATACAAAATTAGATAAAAATAAATAAATATCAAAAAAGTACTTTAGAATGCCTTTTCTTGCCATAAAAATGCAATTAAAAATATTGTATTCAAATTTCCACACACAAGACCGCTGCAGCACAAGCACAGTTGGGCGGGAAAACTAGAAAAGAACGCCAATCAAAATCACTCATTTATGGCTTGCCTCTGCCATAAAAAAGTAATGGAATGTACCATAATAACACTTAAATGTAACGGCTATAATTATTACAAGCAATTAACGGCAATAGTTTCGAAAAAAAAAAAAAGATTCACATGCCAAAATATTCTGCTCATGAAAACGTTTTTGTTGTACATACGTCAATGAAGCGAAAAATATAATTTTTATTGTAAATTTTGAATGGCGCAATTAAAGTGTGTTTGTGTAGGTGTGTGTGTGTGTGTGTAGGTGTGAGTATGAAGGCAATTAGCTGCAAATTTAATTAAGCGCAAACACAATGTCAGAGACAATTGACGGCTTCGCCTAGGAGGTGGAGCAATTATGTTTGTTGTTGAGTGATAATTAAAATTTTATAATTTATTTCTATGCGAATATTTGATTTTTCTTGTTATTTTTTTCTATAATTTCTCATAGCATTTAATTGCTTCATTCACTGAAAAATCTTGCTTTTTTTCTTGCGCATCGCGCTTTTAAAAATGTGTCAATAAACGTGGAAACGTCGGCGGAAGTAATCATTATTGGCGCGAGTAGAAAAATGTTGGAAGACTTTAATTTAGATAAGCATTTAGTGACAACGGGCTGACGAGCTGCTAAGCAAAATTAAACAGCGAGTTCCTATGTGAGGATACTGATTTTTTTAAATAAAGGGTTCATTTTTTTATAATTTTTTGCTTAAAAGTTACTGGTGGACTTCTTTAGAAATAACGAACTGGTATGATTTCATCTTCAACATTCTGCAGGGATTAATTTAGGTGCTCTTCGGCTTTGTTTTCGAGCGAAAATTTTTCCACCAGCCTAGAAGTTGTCAACAGAGCATCTGAGTAAGAATTTTTCACTTTTCATACTCGAGCGTCTACGTCTACATATATTTTGACATTATCTAATACGATTAAATTTAAAATAAAAAATTATTAAAAAAATGTCTAAAAATTTTAACTCTTTTTTGTAGATAGCGAAAATAGAAAACTCATACGTGAAAATCTTTTAAAATATTTACCTCCATTTGTGAGCCCTTCTTGCCCATGGAGCCACTCGTGTGGCCACCACTTTGTGCCGCATTCATTTTGGTTGTGACTGTTTTTTTTCTGTGGTTGCTGACTTTTCAAAAGTTAAACTTGAATCTATTATTGTTGTAGATTTTGTCACCTTTCACTGGTTGTTGTTGTCGTTGTTGTTTTGCTTGTTGCCCATGCTCAATGACCGAGTGTAAACTGGCAATTTGGTGATGACGTTAGGCGCACATACACGCAGACACCGGTGGCAAGGCAACACCTGCATATGTATATGTTCTTTAATAATTGTTGTTTTTGTTTTTTGTTTCTTAACAATTTTCTGGTTAATCAACGTAGTGTCTCTAGAAAGTATGCTGCCAACCGTATGAAATTACCAATCAAATGCTTTTCTTGCAGCGTCTCTTGCACGAAATTTAACTTTTGCTCGCCAGTGAGCTCAAGCACAAGTTACTACAAGTTGATGCTGCATACATATGTGTTCACACGCACACACACACACTTACACATATACTCATAGATATATGTGTGTGCAAGCGTATATTATTTGTGCGACAATTCGCAGCGTGGCAATTAAGGTTTAACTTTTGGTTCGAGTTGGGGTTGAGTTGGGTTAGGTGAGTCGCCGTTTTCAGTTCAAAACGTATGTTGTGCGCGATATTTCCCCCAGACAACTGGTGCTCTGCTGCTTCTTCTATTTCTTTTTTTTTTATTTTGCTCTTCCCTTACTTCGTCATTTAGCACTCTTGGGTCATGTCTTTTTGCACCTTTCGTTTGGCTCGTGGATTTAAGCGAGTTTTCTTGGTTTTCTCTTTCTTCTTTTTCTTACATTTGAATTTAAAGCACGCTTGTGGGTGCACTGTTATTTATTTGGTTGTATGTCTTCCGGTAGTTTATTTGCATTTGCGTTGGTTGTTTATACATATACGTGAATATCTGTTTGAGTTTAGTTGTGTGGTTTTAATAAGTAAAGGTGCTAATTCCACACACATTGCGCTCAATTTCCTTCATCTCACGCATACACTTGCACACGTATATAGGACACATATTTATATAGATATATATAAGCCATTTCCCATTTTAATTTAACACTCGCTTGTTTTTATTGCTTTCTATGCACTTATGTTGTTGTTGTTTTGTAAAAACATCTTTTTGTTGGCAACATTTCGTTGTTAGGAGACACATTCTTGCGACTTTGTTATTTATCTATTTTTTCGCCACTTTTTTCTGCTCGTTTTTAGCCACTTTTCACTATTTTTTTTGCGTTGACTAACGCTTTTAATACTATTAAATTAATTACTTGTTACACTTTAGCTGAAGATTGATTTTTTATAAATTTTTTAACTGGATTTATTTTTTTTTGTTTTTCTTTTTTTAATTTTGTTCGTTTTTATTATTAATAATTAACTTTTCACATTTATCCTTAATAACGCTTACGCATATTTTTTTCCTGTTTATATATTTAAATTTTGCTATTAATCTGTCGTATATTGATTGAATTATATTCTTTTGGGGTTTTTATACAACAATTTTTAGGAAAAAACTTATATCGACCATTTTATTTGCAATATTTTTTAATTTTCTGCTATTTTATGCTTAAGTCTTGCCAAGAGTGGCATATGAATTTATTGAGCAAAAATTTCCTCCTTTTCATTCAGTTAATTTTCAACACAATTTCTGCTCTTCCGCGCACCTAAATCATCAGCTAATTGAATAACTCACTCTCTGAATTACCGCGGAATTTTCTCATTTTCTTCTTTCAATTTGGCACCTGAATAATTTTTAGCTTAAACCGCAAAATTTTGCGAAATTAATTATGCTTCATTTGCGGTTTATGCTGGGAATACATGCGTAAGTGCGGCAACCACAATGTTTTTTAAACCTAACAAATCATATGTATGCATATATTCATATAAGCTTGGTCAAGCAATTTTTACGTTATTTTACGTATATGTTTACCCTTAAGAGACCATATTGCTACAAATAGATGGTGTGGGAGGGAAAATGAAAACATATTTTAATAAATTTATTAATCTAGAAATTATTTGGGCTTGAACTTGTGCTAAATAAATTTCATTTGAAAATTTTGTAAATGTTACGTATACGCACAGGTGTGCTCAGCACACATGTTAGTATGAAAAATCTCTCAAAAATTTAATGTAAGTGGTTTAAAGAAGTATTTAAATGTTCTTCTTTATATATTTTCTAATAATTTATATATTTTCTAATAATTTTAAAATTCCTTTTATTGCTGATTTCCATATATTGCCCATAAATATAAATAAATGAATTTTATCCTTACGACATTGGCTTGGGGATATTACCCATAAATATTTATTTTATTTATCTGAAAATTAAGAGAAAAAAACTTGGGCTGAGATTAAGTCCAGAACTGCCTTTCAAGGATCAGCGCATAAATTTTCACTCACCAAAAAAAAAAATTATATATATATAAATACATAGAAAAATAAAACAAAAAACTCATATAAAACAAAAAAAGCTGTGTTTGGCCATACCTTTATATCTTTCAGGGAATAATACCAAATTTCAAACCCATGCTGTAATCATGGGCAACTGCATGGTTGATCTCAGCGATAATCGGGTTCGTTAACAGCGATTTCAGAAACTGTGCTGGGCTATTGCCGTTCTCACGCAGTTATATTCCTGGTCGCAGGGAAATTGCAAGGCAAGCGATCTTGCCACGGAGAAGTAAATTGTTACTTTCGATAAATCATACATTTGTGTACATTTGTTGTTGTTTGTTCTTGTTGTTGCAATTGTAGTTCGTCAACCTTGCTTATTAATAACCTGAATTCTTCTAAGACATCGAGATCATTGAATGAGAGGTATAGGAAGTGAGCTGTTTCGACGGGTTCTGACCAGAGGGAGTGTGGGCAAGATGATATGCTTTTAGAGAACATGCAAAGAGATGATTAGCATAGAGCGGCAACTCGTTGCATGACATTCATACTGCCAATCAAAGACTTTTATCATAAGCAGGCATAATTGCTAGGCAAATTTAAAGAAATGTTCTCTCAACTACTGTCCTGCCTTGGGTAGAGCTAGGTTCCGATATCTAAAATGTTCTTTCATCGACGACTTGTATAAGATGGCATACATCAAGATATATTATCTAATGAAAGTTATAGGCGAATTAACGTGAATGGATAGTGAAGCTTAATGATCGCGTAAACACCGTTGATTAAAAGTTACGTATACGCTCCAGTCTTCCCAATATCATTTATTTATAGAAAATTTCTCTTAAAACTTAAATGAACTGGTTTGAGGAACCGTATGTATATTATATATTTAAAGCACTCAAATACCCGCCAGAAAAAGAACAAAAACCTGTTAGGAAAAACAACGATTTAAATTTTCGCTGACATTGCTGTTGGTGTGGAAGTTTACTTTCGAAACATATTTTGGTGCTTCTTTTGCCTTGAGATGTTGCGAAGAGATAACAATCCGAACCACAAGCATCGTGCAGGTTGTGAAATGCAAATATGGTCTGTGTATAGTGACCCAAACAACATTTTTTCTTTAAATATCACATAAATGTACGAGAGTGTAGATGAAATGAAATCTGCTATAAGTAGCTATTAAATACTATCTCAATGCCAACTCCCTTAATTTTTTCTTATTTTAATTTTTAATTTGCCAAAAACTATAACAAAAAAGTTCGCACGGAAATTCAATTTAACTTTAACGCGGACTTTCATTTCAATTCAACAAAACACAATAGAAACTACATATTTACACACACACTCACACACACACACACACACACGCATATTTGCTTATTCATTTGTACAAAAAAGTTTAGCACTTAATTGACCCACATTCGCGCTATGCTTACAGCTTTAACGGTTTTATGTTGCAAGAGCGGCAAAACAAAAAACAAAACGTTTTAGAAATCAGCGTAAAAGACAAAAAAGCTACCGTTTGCCAATACAAAATGCACAACGGAAATCACAAAACGAAATCTCCATTAAGTATGCGCTGCAACAAACGGAAATCCCGTTAAGCGTAGTTGAAAGAGTACATGCAAAGCAAACACATAATGAATATATATATATACATATTAACCTTACATACATACACTTGTGCTCGTATATACATATATTTGTAAGTGTATAGGTAAAGGCCAATAGCCGAACTGCATGTGCAGTGCAGTATTTCATTACAAACTGCACTTTTCATTTTATGTGTAGCGATTGTAAAGTTGAGTATGCGCTTAGCACAAAAATGAAACACACACATACACAAACGTTTGCGCCCTGTAGCAACGCACGTGCTCAAGTAGCGCTAGTATCAACGGCAGTGGCAAACTATCAGGAAGTAAGTGAGCTAAGCATACAACATTGCAAGGAGCAACTGCATATCATATATATATACATATATTGTGTAAATGCATATACATACATATATATGTTATATGTTATAAAACTGATAGTCTTCTTCTTCTGGCTCTTCATTATTATTTTTATAAATATTTGTTTTTATCATTGATTATGTTACAAAATCACATGCGAATAATCGCAACTTTTTAGTCTTCTTCCTCAGGCAAACATCGAGACAACTGCGTGATTGTAAGTAACTGAAAAATATACACATACATAAAAATTTGCAAAGTTGTATACCGTTATAACTTGGACACTCGCCCAAATTGGATAAAATATTCTGTACCAAAATAATAAAGTACAAATATTGATAAGTGCATAAGTTCGTGCCCGATTTCTAGTGCAAACTAAAACTGAAATTTATTGAAGAAAGCGCTCTTATTAATCAATTATGTATTCGCCATCATGTTCGGCAACCCACTCCCAACGTTCAACCAATTTACGGATGCCTGATTCATAATATATGATTCAATATAAATACAGATTCATTGCTCAATTTGGACACAGTCCATGTTGGGAGTAAGACAAAATTTGTCTGATTTTCTATATTGGGTTTATGCATTAATTCGTGCGGTTTTCTAAGAGAGGACTCTACTAGTATTATTTCTCGTCGTATTCTTCTTTATCTATATTCTTTTCAGAGGCACTGTCATTTTGCGTCGTTTTCAGTAAAAGTCATTTGTTTTAGCGCGAACAAAAATTTGTTTCATTCTTTTGAAAATGTCGAAATTTGTACCAGATAAAGTGTTTTTGCGGGAAGTTCTTCTTCATTACTTTAAAAGTGGCAATTTCGACATAGAAGACGGACAGGTAAAAAAATCTCTACACGAAGGATTGGAGACATTGCTCGACGCAGATGCATGCCAGAGGCAAGAAGAACAAAAATATAAGGAGTTGATCAAACAACTGTTTCTGGAGGATTAAAATCCTTAGAATTCATCCAGAAGTATGGAATTTGGGTGCCTTATGAATTAAAGCCAAGAGACGTCGAACGTCGACTCTGCATGTCGGAAATGTTGCTTCAACGCCACTAAAAAAAGTAATTTTTGCATCGGATTGTCAATGGATTATGATAATCCAAAGTGCCAAAGATTGTATGAGATGCCCGGCCAACCATCGACATCCACTACAAAGCCGAATATCCATGGGGCCAATGTTATGCTATGTATTTGTTGTGACCACAAGGGTGTGCTCTATTATGAGCTATTGAAATCGGGTCAGGCGATCAATTTTTCTTCATGACAACGCTCGGCCACATGTTGAGAGGCCAGTTAAAAACTAGTTGAAAAACGTTGGGTGGGAAGCTCTACCTCACCCTCCTTATAGCCCAGTTATAGCACCTTCCGATTACCACTAGTTCAGATCAATGCAGAATGCCCTCACCGGAGTGCGCTTCACTTCAGAACAGGATATCAGAAGTTGGCTCGATTCTTTCTTGACCTCCAAGCCGGAGCAGTTCTTTTGGGTTGGGATCCACAAACTGCTAGAAATATGGACAAACATCGTAACTTGCGATGGGCAATACTTTGGAAATTAAATGTATAACAATTTTTTCACAATAAAGGCTTAATTTTCGACCTGCACGCATTAATGCATACACCAACAAAATTTATCAAACTGTATTTATACCCAGAAAAAAAATTATAAGATGCATAAAAATAAATAATTAATAATAAAATAATATATATATATATATTAAACAAAATATATTATATTATATATATATATATGCGTTCCAGAGGCAAGAAGAATAAAAATATAAGGAGTTGATCAAGCAACTGTTTCTGGAGGATTAAAATCCTTAGGATTCATCCAGAAGTATGGAAAATGTATGCCTTATGAATTATATTATATATATTACACAAAAAGTAAACATAAAAATAAAAAAA